GTTGTAATGTGACAAAATATGGAAAAGTTCAAGGGGTATGAATACTTTTGCAAACCACTGTATGATGTCAATTACAGGCCTCTCTCATCTTTTTAAGTGGGAGAACTTGCACAATTGGTGACTGACTAAATACTTATTTTCCCCACTGTATAAAATTAACAGAGTTATAGCTATCAGCTTTTCTGGGCATGACCTCAACTCAGAGATGTCTTGTGGTCTGAAGMGTCCACATTTTCCAATTGTTGTTGGAAATTATGGACGTGGTGTCCTCTGGGACAAAACGGAAAAGGACTGTCTGGATTGTTATCAGCACGAAGTTTAAAAGCCAGCCTCTCTGATGGTATGGAGGTGTATTATCCAGCCTCTCTGACGGTATGGGGGTGTATCAGTGGGTAACTGTCACATCTATGAAGGCATCACTGATTCAGAAAGCTACATTCAGGTTTTGGAGCAACATATCCTGCCATCCAAGACAACAGTGTGGTTTCAGAGTAAAAGAGAGCAGGAACTAGACTGTCCTGCAGTCCACATCTGTCTCCTTCTGAAAATGTGYGCAGCCTTATGAAGAGACACCGGACTGTAGAACAACTGAAGTTGTTCATCAAGCAAGTTAAAAGGATTTACAAATTATTTTTAATAGTTTGTTATTTATGTCTTTACACAACGTCTCAACTTCAATGGAACTGGGGCTGTAATAATGAAAGTGAAATAACAGGCATTACATTTTTGAAATTTGTGACTATTTACTTGTTGCATTATTTTTAAGTTAAGTTATTTTATAAGAACAAAAATTTTAGGTTATGGTTAGAATGAAAATATGGAATTCAAAAAAAATGGAAAAAGCAGAATTTAGAAAGATAAAAAAATGGGAAATTATAAAACACACTTTGTAATGCCCTTTTATTTTCCACAAAACAACAATACCATTTATCTGTTTCAGCAATTAAACATTAAAGGAGACCAATTATGGGTCCTAGAAATTTTTATGGTATGTCTGTGGCCTATCCAGACCATGTTCATTCAATTCAATGCACAAAATAATTCTCAGATAATAAAATTTCCCATTTTCTAGTTCTGCCTGCTCTGACTTCCTTTCAGAAGAGCTGTTTATGTTAATGAGCTCTGTTGGTAACGCCCTCCAAAAATCTGTTGACATTAACTCCGCCCTCCAAAGCCAGCGTTAGCATGGCTAATAATACCAGAAGCTCTGTTGTACAACCGTATATATGAGACCCTCAGTCAGACCCAGAGGCAGAGTCGTGGTCGCAGCTTTTTTTTCTCCCCCTCCTCCTGTGTCGGAGCTCTGCGCTCACTCTGCATGCTGTTACCAGAGCAGGGAGCAGCAGCAGTCAAAATACCTCAGAAACTCGAACAAATAGGCTTTAACAAGGGTTTAATAAGCTAAACTATAGAGGTACATGAGAAAACGTGTTCATAACGAGTGAAAAAAACCCCCCAAATAATTAAATTGTGTCCGTATCAGTCTCGAACCCTGGTCTCCCCCTGGTCCAACACACTACCCATTGCCCTGTTGGAAGGCTTGTTGTAAAATAAGTTGTGCATTGCAGAACAACCGTGACGGCTTTTTAAACTGAGGAGGTGGAGCTTCACCTGGGGGTTGCTAGGTAAGGGGCTGAACGCAGGTTCCGGTGGGTTGTCGTACGGCTTGTGACRTCACAAAATGACGGAAGTATAAAAGTTGTCATTAATATACATTAAAAATACATTTACTTASAGTAAATATGCCCCTGGGTGCATTTTTTTGGTCCTAGGACTGTTTTTTTAAGAAGTACACACCCAACGTTGAGTAAAAAAAAGCTTTAAAAAGTGAATTTTGCATAATAGGTCTCCTTTAAGAGGTGAAGAGTTTTCAGGTCTGAATATACCGGGACGTGAGAGCCAACACGTGGCTGTTGCAGGCATCACTGCCATCCTCCCAACTCTCCGTTCTCTTCTTTCTGTCCTCAGTCCGGCTCAGGGGGCTTCTGATCCGCTCCAAAGAGGCTGCAGCAGAGCCATGTGTTACAGCCTGCTGATGGAGGAACAAAGAGGTTAATGCTGAGAGATACTGCAGCTTCTACATGGAGGTACAGTTGTGGTCAAAAGTTTACATACACTTGTAAARAAACATAATGTTATGGCTGTCTTGAGTTTTCAATAAGTTCTACAACTCTTATTTTTCTGTGATAGAGTGATCCGAACACATACATGTTTGTCACAAAAAACAGTCATAAAATTTGGTTCTTTCATAAATTTATTATGGGTCTGCTGAAAATGTCACCAAATCTGCTGGGTCAAAAATATACATACAGCAACATTAGTATTTGGTTACATGTCCCTTGGCCATTTTCACGGCAACTAGGYGCTTTTGGTAGCCATCCACAAGCTCCTGGCAAGCTTCAGGTCGAATGTTTGACCACTCTTCTTGACAGAATTGGTGCAGTTCAGCTAAATGTGATGGTTTTCTTGCATGAACCTGTTTCTTTAGCACTGTCCACATGTTCTCAATGGGGTTTAAGTCAGGACTTTGGGAAGGCCATTCTAAAACCTTAATTCTAGCCTGGTTTAGCCATTCCTTTACCACTTATGATGTGTGTTTTGGGTCATTGTCTTGTTGGAACACCCAACTGCGTCCAAGACCCAACCTTCGGGCTGATGGTTTTAAGTTTTCCTGCAGAATTTGGAGGTAATCCTCCTTCTTCATTATCCCATTTACTTTCTGCAAAGAACCAGTTCCACTGGCAGCAAAACATCCCCAGAGCATAATACTACCACCACCATGCTTGACAGTAGGCATGGTGTTCCTGGGATTAAAGGCCTCACCTTTTCTCCTCCAAACATATTGCTGGGTGTTGTGGCCAAACAGCTCAATTTTTGTTTCGTCTGACCAGAGAACTTTCCTCCAGAAGGTTTTATCTTTGTCCATGTGATCAGCAGCAAACTTCAGCCGAGTCTTAAGGTGCCTTTTCTGGAGCAAGGGCTTCTTTCTTGCACGGCAGCCTCTCAGTCCATGGCGATGTAAAACACGCTTGACTGTGGAGACTGACACCTGTGTTCCATCAGCTTCCAAATCCTTGCAGACCTGCTTCTTGGTGATTCTTGGTTGACTCTTGACCATCCTGACCAATCTCCTCTTGGCAGCATGTGATAGCTTGCGTTTTCTTCCTGATCGTGGCAGTGACACAACTGTTCCATGCACTTTATACTTGCGTATAATTGTCTGCACAGTTGCTCTTGGGACCTGTAGCTGCTTTGAAATGGCTCCAAGTGACTTCCCTGACTTGTTCAAGTCAATAATTCGCTTTTTCAGATCCACACTGAGTTCCTTTGACTTTCCCATTGTAGCTTTTGTAGCTGACTCTAATCACTGGGTCAAAGGAGCCCTATTTAAATGGGCTCATGAGAAGTCAACAGCTGTAGTCAATCAGAATCACTTACAAGAAGTGAAGAGGCCATGACATGAAGCTAATTTGATTGACACAACTTGCTACATCACCAAAATTGACAAATTTTGTTGCTGTATGTATATTTTTGACCCAGCAGATTTGGTGACATTTTCAGCAGACCCATAATAAATTTATGAAAGAACCAAATTTTATGACTGTTTTTTGTGACAAACATGTATGTGTTCCGATCACTCTATCACAGAAAAATAAGAGTTGTAGAACTTATTGAAAACTCAAGACAGCCATAACATTATGTTTCTTTACAAGTGTATGTAAACTTTTGACCACAACTGTAAAACCTCACTGCATTGTAAAGTCTGGCGGATGAACCTTCTACTCCTAAGAAGAGAATGCAAGGGGGTGGGTAACGCAATAAAACTCCAAGAATGTCTCACATCAGTGAAAAGTATTGTTGTCAGACAGTTTTTCTCATCAAACACCAAACAATGATCCCTTCRGTCAGCTTGTGGTGGATCTAAGTCAAACGATACCGAAAGTTAGAAGAGCCATTACAAAGGAGACTAAAATTTAGTCAAAATACACCACTGCTGATGTAATTTATATTCAGTTTAGTTTCCACTGGCCTACACTGAACTTTTTCATCAGGATGGAATCAAAGACAATTTCATGTTCAAGACAATTCAGTTTTTAAGTAGCATGAAATGTAATATTTGAAAACGATTAAAAATTATTTAAAATATTGATTAACATGATTATGATTTTATTTCAATAAACAAGCAGCCCTTTCTCCAAGTCAAAGCATCCTAACAGCTGATAGGAGGAGCCAGACTGATGACCTCATCGACAGTTTTATTTTGACAGACCCACTTTAAATTCCTTACAATAAATTGTTTTTTTATACTGCAATAATGTATGTAAATATACAGTATACTGTATCGACACAAATATATGTTGCACTAAATCACACCCCTTGATTGTTCTAGGTGCCCCACCTTCTCCTCCAGTTTACCAGCCCTTCTGGAGAGTAAAATTACAGCTACATTCAAAACAAACAAACAAACAAACAAACAAAAAGTCACCCTGATGCTGACCTTTAACCTTTTCTCCTCCTCCTGCTTCTCCAGTTCAGCGATGTGCAGGCTCAGTGCCTCCCAGTGCATGATGGGAAGACCCAGATTGTCTGTGTCGTAGCCTTCCTGCCAGACCAGCACCGCCCTCTCAGAGTTTCCATCCTCCTCTTCGTCATCGTCACTCCTCAGATCATCTTCTGCCTCGTTGCTCTCTTTCTCCTCCTGTTGCTGCAACTGGCGTTCTTTTTCTCCTTCCATCTAGAACAGACATAGAACAGAACAATGAGGAGAACCGTCAAAGTGTTTACAGGTTACATCTGATGTCTGCCTRTGTCTCCTGCTGTACGTTGCTTTTAATAACACACATCATCAGAACCTTAAGATTCATCTCCTACATTAATCCCTTCAGTGTCTGCTGTCCAGCACTGGACTTTACATGGGCTCACTTTAACTCAACCTCTGGCTTATATATAACTTATACAAGTGGATGACAAAACATTTTTTACTTTTACACCATAGTGTAACTTATGCCAAACGTATCCATAGCATTAGAGCGTATTCTGTTAAACAAGAGGCAGTCTCATATGGCAGACACACTGGTGTAAGCTTTGAATAACTGCCAATGTGTTGCAGATAAGTTAGGGACAAGCTGGTGACAGGTAATTTATGCACAAGTTAACACATGTTCCAGCTAAATTACTCATAAGTTGACAATATTAAGTAGAAAACATTTGGGCAATTGTGAAGCCTATGGTATGAGCAACTTTCTAACCTATAACTTACAAACACTACTCACAAAAAGTAAGGGATGTATGAGGTTCTTTTGATCAATTGTTAGGTGCTGTCTTGGTGTCATGATGCCAAAATGTGAACAGCATGATGATGAGGGCAGTTCAAACACAATCAGGCAATGTACAGGTCAATTCATGCATCAAATCCTTGTTGTGAATTTTGTCATTAAGAAAAGTCTAAATTCATAATTTATCTGACACTGATTAACATGTTTGAAAATGTCAGGGGATTTGTTTCAAACATTTGACTATTGTTCTCTCCTGCTGTCAAAAGGCAGAAAACAATGTTTTTGTCTCTGTTAGCAAAACACCTTATAAAGCATGGGAACGGTTTTCAGACAACTTTCAGAAAGTGTCACCCCTGTGGTAGTAGCTGAGAGTCATTCAGAACACAKTACATTAGACAAAAACAACTATAACTKCATTATTTCTCACCATAAACTAAGTGTGAAACCATGGCGGGTGATAGGCAGTCATTAAAGAAATGACCTGAAGTTTTCACTGCAATTAATGATAAAAGAGAAATGTAAGCGAATGTAAACATGAATTATTCAACTACATTTACTTTAAATGTKTCCTCATTTTAATATATAATTCTTGTTTGAGACAACACATTATTTCACAGGAGTTAAACAAAGCAAARCCTTAAAAACAGTTAGTTAAATAAGTACCAAAATGGTGTGCTTTAAATGAGACCTCAACGTTTAATAAAACAAGCATTTATTGTGTTTAGTCAGAGTTTAGACTAAAAAAATAACAAAGTTAAAGTTAGCTAACTCACCATATCTTCGGGAAGAAAAAACAGTCCTTAAAGGTGAAGTTCTCCACATTCCTCCTAACTTTCATGACGATGATTTTGGAGTCGTTTACTGAAAAAACAAGTCATGGTTGTGTTGAAGAAGTTTTCAGCTCTCATTTCACCGAGTCTGAAACCGTCTTTATTTCTTTTCTGACGCTTTATCTTTCTGCTTGTTCAGGACACAAACCCACCCTTTCTCCGAGACATGGGAAGAAAAAAGAGAGAGCGGAAAAAAAATGTGTAGGGGAATCCTAGAGTTTGAACTGCAACTTTAATCCGCTAGAAAACTTCCTGTTCCAACCTTCAAAATAAAAGCACAAACTTCCGACTTTCTTTTGGCCTTCACTTCTGCTTTATTTTACTGCGTTATTTTATTTATTTGTTTACGTAAACCAAGAAAACTGTGAAGCCTTCATTAAAACCTCACACCCAAACAACCCACTAAAAAGGAGGGGTTTCTTGTTATATATACAGCAGGGAAAATAAGTATTGAACACGTCAACATTTTTCTCAGTAAATATA